TCTAAAAGCATCAATCAGTGTGGAGAGAAAAAGGTTGGTGAAGACAAATGTAGGTCCTCTTTACAGTCAGAAACAGGGAAAGTTGTAATGGGGAGTAAGGAGACAGACTAATTAAATACATATCTTGGTTCTGCCTTCACAGAAGAGGGCACAAATAACATTCCAAAAATGTTTAGAAACACCAGCTGTAGTGTGAGGAAGAACCTGAAAGAAATCAGTATTAATACGTAAATGTTGGGGAAATTGACAGATTAAAGGGTGACAAATCCCTAGGCCGGATAATCTACATCACAAAATACTTCAGAAAGTGGCTCTAGGAATAATGGATGCATTGGTGGTTATCTTTCAAGATTTTATAAAATCTGAACAGTTCCCATGGATTAGATGGTAGCAAATGTAACCACACTATTTGAAAAAGGAGATAGAGAGAAAACAAGGAATTATAGACTGGTTATTCTGACATCAGTAGTAGGGAAGGTCGAGTCCGTTATAAAGCATTGACAGGATTGGACGTAATTGCTATGGATTTACGAAGGGGAAATTATACTTGACAAATCTTCTGGAATTTTTCGAGGATATAACCAGCAGAGTTGTTGAGGTGAAGCCAATATATCTTGAGCTTTTGTAAGGTGTTGATTAGGGCCCGTAGAAAAGATTAACATATAAAATTAACCTGTATCAGAAAGGGGGTGGTGTATTGATGTGTTTGGAGAACTGGTTGGTAGACAGGAACCAGAGTAGAAATAAATAGGTCTTTTTCCAAGTGGCAATCAATGACTAGAGGGGTACTGCAGGAATCTGTGCTTGGACCACAGCTATTCACAGTATATTTTAGCGATTTCGATGAAGGGATTAAATGTAATATCTCCAAGTTTGCAGATGACAAAAGCTGGGTGGGAGGGTATACTGTGAGGAGGATGTACAGATATTTCAATGTGATTTCCAACAAAGTATGTTGTGGAAATGTCAGGTTATCCAAAATCGGAAGGCAGATTGTATCTGAAGGGCAATAGATTGGGAAAGGAGGAACTGCAGTGTGTCGTGGGTGTCCTTGTACGCCAGTCACTGAAAGGTAGGCATGCAGGTGCAGCAGACAGGCAAGAAGGCAAGTGGTATATTGGCCTTCATAGTGAGAGGATTTGAGTACAGGGGCTTGTTGAGACCACACCTGGAGTATTGCATGCAGTTTTGGCCTCCTTATCTAAGGAAGGATGTCTAGTTATGGAGGGAGTGCAGCAAAGCTTTATTGGACTGATTCCTGGGAAGGCAGAACTGACACATGAAGATAGACTGAATCAGTTAGGACTATCTGCATTGGAGTTTAGAAGAATGAGAAGGGATCTCACAGAAACCTGTAAAATTCTAACAGGATTAGACAGGGTAAATGCAGGCAGGGTATTCCTGATGACCGGAGTGTCCATTATCAGAGTCACAATCTAAGGCTAAGGGGTTGGCTATTTAGCACTAAAATGAGAAATTTCTTCATCCAGAGAGTGGTCAGCCTAGGAATTCTCAGCCACCAAAAATAATTGAGGTGAAAACATTGTATGTTTCAAGAATGAGTTAAATATAATTCTTGGGGCTAAAGGAATCAAAGGCTATGGCGTGCAAACAGGAACAGGGTGCCAGATTTCATGATCAGCCATGATTGTATTGTTTGAAGGGACAGCCAGCCTATTCATGCTCCTGTTTTCTATGTTTCTATGCCTTCAGCCACCTTTGTTCACATTTCAGGATTTACTCCCCACACTCCTCTGTCCTCTTTAAGGTCCATCTTAAAACCTACACCTTCAATCAAACTTTTCATTTCTCTGCTAACACTGCGTCCAAGGCTCAGGACCTGTGTTTTCCTTCTGCCTCTGAAGTATTTTGAGAGTCTGTTCCAACATTTAAAGACAAAATAAAAGCCTAGATTTTTATTTCTTATAAACCTTCGCACATTCTTTTGATCTGTGACATCTGGTGGCTTTAAATATTTTGTATTGTAAGTCATATTCTGTACGAGTTTCACCATATTGAGTTGTTGCTTCAGGCTTTGGTAGTAGAATCATAGCATTCCAGTTTGTTTTGAAAACATTTCCAATCATAACTGAAGCTTTTAATTTATTAATTTCTTGGAATCCTACATGCATGATTTTTTAAAAAATTTTATTCTTGAGCGTGAGCACCAATTTTTCTAGGTGGCTATCTTTCAAAATGTGGTTTATTGCACTCGTGTAGCCAAAGATTCATCCAAAATTACTTAACAGTTTATACACTTTATTTGATGCGTAACTTTAGGTTGTCTAACAATATTGGTAATTTTGATAGATGGGATAGTGTTGTAGAACTACAACCAAATTGTTTGCTACATTTTCTCTTACAATTTCCTGCATGTTATAAAAACAATTCATTGAATGAGAAGTATTTTGGCGCATCTGCAAAGATGTTATGAGATCCTGGATACCTGCAAGTTTGTTTAATGGTTGGCAAATGGTACATGTAAAATTTACTCAATTGACTGAAACGTTCTTCTGAGCTGCTGAACATTAGTGTTTATTGCATACATTTAATCAGATCAGAAAACAAAAATATCCAATGAAATAACAAATTAGAAAATGTTACATTTGCACTGTTCTTTGTTGAGCGTGCCCCAAAGTGACTCTCAGCCAATTAATCACTTTTAAAATACAGTATTGTCACAAATGAAGGCATATGGCAAGATTCTACGAACAGACACAAGAAAGTTAAAATTTGTCTATTTTGTTAGTGTTGACTTTGGGAGTAATACCAAGCAAATATCTCGGTTGTCTTTGAACAGTTTTGTGTGATTTTTTTATTATCCAGCTAATCAGTCTTCTCAGTTCTCTGTCCAATGCATCATCTATTTAATGTAATTCCTCTGCATTATGAGCCAATATGGAGAACTCCGTCCCTGTCATGCACATACTCTAGATCTAAAACAAGACAATAAAGATGAGTTGTGCAGTGTTCTGCACTTATGATATGGGTGCCATCTTATAGGTGAAGGCGATTTCCAGGTGTCACTAGTACCTAATTAAAATTGGTGGTTATAAGGACCCCAGCATCTGATTCACAACCCCTGTTTGAAATCTAGACCTGGAATAGGGATGACACAGCACCTGATTCTTTATGCACCTTGACTTATTGATGCAACAGAAAAGATGTGAAAGTACCTAAGTTACTTGGTAAAGCACTTCTGCTGCTCAATAGCTTCAGCTATGTCTGGTATTGTTAGTATGATCCAATGCCCAAATTCTGATACATCATAAGCCTCCTGATTCAGATATATCTTTTAAAAAAAATTTGAAAATGAGCCATAATGAATTTCAAACTGGTTGTATTTATATTTTTGTTCTCACTTTGCCTCCGTGGTAGGTATTTACCAATAGGTAATTTAGGCAGTTCTGAGCAAGTAGATCCCATCCCTGTTTTTTCAATAAGTAAAAATTTCGTACGATGGTGCAGGTTCATCCCTTCATGCAACTAACTGGCCATTTATATAACTGCTGTTTATGGGAACTTGCCTTGCACATGTTTGCTGCTGCATTTGCAATGACTACTTAATAAATAACTAATTGACTACAAAGTATTTCAAAACATCGTACTGTGCAAGGTAGGTTATTTCACTGGTTATCTCTGAGGCATAAGTGTGATAATTTGGGTCAAGTTAACATTTTTGACTTTTCTTTCACCTTATAATTATAAACATTTGCTGCTGACTGCAGTGGCTCAAATGAAGTGGAGGAAAGCCTATTAGGCAAACCAGTAGGATTCTTGCCTACTTAGAATGTAACATCTCTGAAGAAGGCATTACCTCAGTGAATTTTTGTTTCCTTGATTTGGAATACAACCTGAAGGTATGTTGGAGAATGAAGAGGACTTTACCAAAGATAGGTAATTTGCACATTTGTCATTTGCCTTATTGCTCAACTTTCTGCTGCTGGCCCCTTCAAAAGAATGAAAACACAGTTACTGAAAGAGGCCCAGTTTGCAGCAAAGGCTAATGGGAAGTAACTTGACTTCAGTAACATGGTTACTGACACAAAAATGGTTTTATGGTTCTTAATAAATGTATTAATTTGGATGTGGAGATTGAACTACATTCAAAGAATATCATAGACCATATTAAGGGTAAGTTATCTAAAATTGTTTATCTAGAGTTGTGCTATGTGAAACTAGTTTAACCGTGCATCTTGTAAATCCAGTCTGCACCTTAACACCCTACACCAGACTATTTTGACAATTATTAACAAAATGGAACAGCGTTCTAGTTCATGCTGATTTCTACATGATGTGGTAATGAACTGGAATACCATCTTTCTGGTAATTGTATATTTAGCTGCTTTAAATGGTGCAAAAGCAAACAAAGCGTATTTTTTAATGAACACATTCAGTGAATAAAAGTGATGTGACTTTTCACAAATAGTGTAACTGTTCATTTAACCAAATACATTAGTTATTTTGAGAAGCTATTAATTGTAGTAGAAAATGCCATATTGCCTTATTGAAAATTGAAATATTTGGTTCAAAAATGCTTATAATATTGTCAAAGAAAGATCTTTCCATTGAATGAAACACTCTCACCTCTTCCAACATGAAATAACCCCAGAGTATTAAAAAAATGAGTGAAAGCATTTAGTGATGAAGGCATTTATTCTTCAGGATAATATTTTAATCTTGCAGCTGTGAGTAAGAGCCAGTAACTTCAATGTTTTGCCTTCATCAAGCTTTCACCACTGCACTCAGTCATACGTTTGCAAGGTTAATTATTTAATAAGCAGTTCAGGTATATCATGTTATTTCCTTTATTTCTCCCAGTACAGTACATTGAATAAACATATACATTGCAGCATAAAATTTATTGCAACACAATTCCTATTTGCTTTTGATTTTCCATTCCAAGAAGCTGAAATGTACCTCGTTAAAATTCAGCATCACATCATGCTATAATGCATTGTTTTTACTAAGCATGTAATAAAAATCTTGTACTGATGTGTTCTATTCTGTGATCGAAAACCCTGTGTGGGCATTCAGGACTTACTACATTCATGTTGTACAACTTGTTTTGCCAGGTTCCAAAAGGATCCAACCTGGTCAGAGACAGGTGACCGATACTTGTTAAAATTATTCAGAGATCATCTTTTTCACCAGTTGACTGAAACTGGTACTCCATGGATTGACCTCAGTCACATAGTCTCCTGCTTAAATAAGGTAGGGGATCATATGCAAAATAATAATAAAACAGATATTGCTATATTATTTATGGAACTTTTGTAAACACAGAATTTCTTGTAAAATAAAAAAAATTTTCAACTCCTTTAGTAACTTAAAAGCATTCAGTATGCAATTTCATGTATTTTACTTCTGTGCTTACTTTTGTTTGAAAGATGATCACTGTTAGCTGTTAATTTTTGTTTACAGTTGGATGCTGGTGTACCAGAAAAAATTAGTCTTGTTTCCAGAGATGAGAAGAGTGTTCTTGTGGTGACATATGCTGATCTGAAACGTTGCTTTGAAAGCGCTTTCTCAGAACTCCTTGCAGCTTCTAATGGACAGTTGTAGTATTCGCTGTGCTGAGGCAAAACATTGCCGAAGAACAATATAAAGAGCTAATTGCACTACAACTGTATTAATGCCATCTCATTTCACATTTAAATTACAAATGTAAATGAGCAGCGCTGCTTGCACTTCAGTCAGGTACACTGTTACTTGAAGGAAGAACGTCCATATTACAGGAGCCTAGAACTGCCACCAGAAGTTGTTTCTGTGAAGACTGTTTTTAAATTGGGAAGTGGCATCAGATGCATGATGATCCCAGTTTTATTTTTTCACATGTTTATGCACTAATTTTAAGTTCAAGACTTGTGATCTTTAAGGATGTACCACATGTAATTTTGATAAGGGAAAATCGTTATCTTTAGAATTACCTTCTGGGTAACAGTATATGCCCCTAAGGAAGATGTTGAAGTGATTGTACTGCACGCAAGCCTATGGCAAGGACTAGGGTGAAAATGCCATTGGATATGTTATTTGTGAACTGAATTCCAATGGGTTATATTTCTGGCAAAAGACATGCTGGACTTCAGACCAACTGCCATGTGCTATCACTTAAACCAAACTACAGAAAGCATATTTTTATGGAAATCAGGTGGAATATTATATGGACGCTATTCTTCTAGGAACTAAACAGCTCCTGTGTGTCAGTGTTGATGGCATCTTTGTGAACTATCACAGCTACACATCTTTCATAACAAAATTAAAATGTAGCTTTTTTGCTTCATACAGTTACCAGCGCCTTTTTTTAACAACAAATTCAGTGTAAGTAATTGGAACAGGTAAGATGCCTCTACATTTATGCAAGCTTTTTTTTATAGGAGACTAATTTTTAAATTGGGTTCAATACCTGAAATGTCAGGAGTGGATTAGGTTTTGTTATGTATCATTTAATTTTGTATAAAGTTCTATTATTTGAACAGCAGCTTTAATAGGGTACTTTACACTGGATATGGAAACAAACAACAACTTTGTCAAGTACACTTGCACAAAAACACAGCAGTTGTTTCACAGTAGTAACCTGTGCAGTTTTGGAACAATTGGGCTGCTGTGCCTTTATGATACCCTCGTCCCAAAGTTGGCTTTACAATTAGTCATCTGAATTACAGATATATGGAACTACCTAAAGTGTGATGTTTCAGTTTCTTAAAGTTAGAAACAAAATCACCTTTTTTAGGGAAATTCTTTCATTTGCAGAATCAATTTCTAAATGTGTTGTCAAGTATTGAAACTGAACCATCTGGGAAATGAGGAACATATCAAAACATAATGCAACCAGTCGTATGTGACTGCCAATTCCATTGGGCCAAAATATAGAAATGAATCTAAAGAAATTTAACTCAATATAATGACTTTGACATTGTCTTTTCTTCCTGGTATTAAATGTTTAATCATATTGACTGCTTTGAGGAAGAAATGCTGAAACTGAGGGCAGTATGGCCTTGATAATTGAAAGTCCTTTCCCATTAGCCCAGTTTTATAAGCATAAAATTCTGCATATTGAATTTGTGTTGGCAACACCGTTCATGCAAAAGGTTTGGAATCCAAACCTGTTTGGCAACCACAAATAGGTTCACCTGGTAACAGCAGTTAAAATTAATGGGGAAGGACTACATATATTTGTGATTTTGACACATTTGTATGCATCCTGTGCAAAATTGATCTATCAACAGGCAGTAGAAGCAATTGCAATGTCTCCCTCATTTTAGCTGTAAAAGAGTTGAGGGAACTCCGCTATGTTCTTTCAAGGATAATGTCCTAAGTAAAGTTGTGTCAATAGCTCATCTGTTTGACAGAGAAGCAGCTGTTTTTGTATGTTTTGAGAAAAAAAACATTCTTTTTTTATAAAATCATAAAAAAACAAAAAAAAGGTATTCTGACAATGAGGAGAAATACTGTATTTATATCATTCTGTGCACTTCAAAAGGTTCTTGTTTCCACATGGTTTCTGAATAATTGCAGAAAGGGGATCATCCATGGGTATTAAGGGTTGGGAGTGCATGGCCTCCTCACATTCTTAGTATGGACCAATATTTGGGTAACAGGCAGAGGTAAACAGGGCTTAAATTTTGATGTTTACTAAACCAGCACACTGCCTCTGGATTATCAAAAGCAAAAACAAAATCCCTGAATCTAAAAAAAACTCTGATTATTTTGTTCTTACCTTTTAATGTGATTTCATTGTGAGGTAGTTAATTGCCTACAAAGTTCATTTGAATGTATTCCTGATCCAGCCCAAGTCAGCATTTGTACATCAGATTTTACATTATTTGCTCCTTTGTTACCGTATCTAACATTTCTAGTCACCATGCGATTTTAAGTCTTGATCCATTTATTCATAGATGTCTAATTGGGAGAGTTCCAATATTTTAAACTGATTCCAGTTCATGCAGTTATAGAATATTTGCAGTCGGGCTTTGAAATCAGTATTGATTTCTCAAACATAAGATTTTAACCATCTGCATTTACATTGACACATTGCTTTTGCAGAAAACTTTAGGAAGGCTTTGAATATGGTGAGTAATGTGCAACCTTTTGATGATCCAGTGCCAGCCCTTGAAATCACATGGTGACTTCAATTTTTGAAATCATGTATGGTTTGAAAATTCATTTCAGTTATATACAGGGTTTTCAGTTGCCTAATGCTGTTTAAAACAATCCAAATATGTATTACTAAAAGCTTGTTTTATGTATTATGTTGGTAACAGTTTTTGTTTTGTACGAAAACCTTGTAAGCATATTCTGCACACGTTCCACTTCGGCCTTATTTTGTTTATTTGTAAAGAAAAATGTCCTTAAACAGCTATCACAAAAGTATCAATCGGTTTTGTCTGTATGACCCCTCGTCAATGTTAAATGTTACCACATCTGATTTAAGCCTTTGTGTGTACAGCAGTATTTTAATAAAGAATACCAGAATTCAATCTTGCTTACATGTTTCTTTTTATTCGTTTAGGGATGTGGATGTCGCTGGCTAGACCAGTGTTTATTGCCCATCCCTAATTGTCCTGGGGAAGATGTTTATGAGCTGCTTCCTTGAACTGCTGCAATCCTTTGGGATACGAGTTCCTGACTTTGAAAAGTAACTACTGAATTGAAAATGTGGATATCAACATTTTATATAAAAATTAGTTTCAGTATTTGAAGTTACTTTGAAGTTTTGCATTAATTAATTAGGTATAACATAGACACAACTTTTAAGGCAGCGCAGTGGATGAAAAAATCTATTTCTACAAGCAGATATAACACAGTGTGAGCTGGAGGAACACGGCAGGCCAGGCAGCATCAGAGGAGCCGGAAAGCTGACGTTTCGGGTCGGGACCCTTCTTCAGAAAAATCAGCTTTCCTGCTCCTCTGCTGCCTGGCCTGCTGTGTTCTTCCAGCTCCACACTGTGTTATTTACACAAGTAGCTATAGAATGATGGGGGAGGAATGTCTCAAATATAACATTCAGTTATTATGATGTAATCCAATCTACAGGAAATTGATTGATTCAGAGACATTATCTGCAACCAAAACTATTAATAGTTACTTGACAAAAACAAGATCCACAGATGCTGAAATTCTGAAATATTTAGCAGCTTATGCAACATCCGTGAAAGGAAGAAAAGAGTTACACTGTGTCCTCTCATCAGAAATGAGGTATGTTAGAGATGTAATAGATTTTGAGCAAAGATAAGGGCAGAGTGGGGGAGAGCAACAAAGACAAAAGTTCTGAGACAGGGTGGGTAGCATGAGGAATTAAATAGCAAAAAGGTTTAAAAGCCAGAGGGAATTGATAAATAAAGGATGTCTATTTGATATGTAAATAGTTAATAGTCAATTCAAGTGCGAAGTCAAGAGATTGCAAAGGGGGAAAATTAAATCATTTGGAGAAATGTGATGATTTAACATTCTTGAACTCGAACTCAATGTTGAGTCAAAAATCTGATAGAGCGCTGAGTCAGAAGTGTTATTCCTTGAGTTTTGTTGAACTATTTAAGACATTGTACTAGGCCAAGGACTGAAAAGTTAGAGTAGAAGCAAGGTGGAAAATTCAATAACATGATAAGCTCGGAGTCATGCTTGCAGGCTGAACAGAGGTGTGACCTGTTTGCAGTTGGTTTCCCCACTGTAGGGAGGCATCATCATTGGTAATGAATACAGAAACCACAATTGGAAGAAGTACCTGTGGCACTATCCTGCATAGTGTGGTTTTCCATCATTGGTCAGCTTTTTGCTTATACTGTCTACTTTTTCATTTGGACAGCTGCTATCCAGTTACTTGCATCTTTTCTGGTTTCTTTAATTTTGAAACCTTTTGCCATTTAACCTCTCCTGCCATCCACCCTATCACAGACCCTCTAGCCTCTTTTGTCTTTTCCTAATTAACAACTTTTTCACTTGCTCAAAAGCTGTCGCAATTCTAGCTTTCCTTAGTTCTGAGCAAAAATCACAGTCTTTAAATATTAACTCAGTTTTCCTTTCTGCATAGCCAGCCAGCCTGCCTGCCTTGCTGAGTATTTTTAGCATTTTCTGTTTCTACTTGTTATTTGATAACATATTATAAATAGAATTTAAATTGCAGAGTAATGTTTAATACAGCAAAGTATCCACAGTCAATCATAGAATTGTTACAGTGCAGAAGGACGCCATTCAGTCCCTCATGTCTGCACTGGCTCATAAAATGACTTACTGTCATTTTCCTGCCTTTTCCACATTCCTTTGCATGTTGTTCCTGTTTAAATAATTAAATGTCCTTTTGATGCTTAATTGAACGTGCCTCCTCCACACGTCCAAGCAGTGTGTTTCAGAAGCATTTATTTTGTGAAAACATCTCATTCTTGCCTCGACTTTGCCTCTTTTGCAAATCACTTTTTAATGTGTGCCCTGTCATTTTGATCCTTTTACAAGTGGGACAATATCTCCTTATCTATCGCAACGCCCTTGCTCCTGAAAACTTCTAATAGATCTTCTCAGCCTGTTGGTCTCTAATCTCAAAATAGTGAATTGTTACATATACTTATTTAAAAATCACATGATACCCAACGTGATCATAACAGTGGCAAACTTTCCACTCTTGCTCTTTTAGACGTGTCTTCGTTCTTTAACATGGTTGATCACATTGTTATCCTTTAACAACCCTCTGTTATTGTCCAGCTGGGAGGGAATCATTTGTAATGGCTTCTGTTCCTGCTCCCATATCGTTACCTTTGCTATTCCCCAAGGATCTATCCTTGGCCCCTGCCAGTTTCTCAACTACATTTTGCCCTTGGTTACACCATCCAAAATTGCAGCATTAGCTTCTGCACGTGCACTGACACCTGACTTTACCTCACCACCACCTCTCTCATCCATCGTTGTTGCTAAAATGTCCGACTGCCTATTCAACCTACAGTACTGCATAAACCTGCATTTCCTTTGAAAGGTTGGGAAGATTCAGACTTTTTTTTTTGGACCTATCTCCAAACTTTGCTCCTTTGGTGACTTCAATCCCTGTTCCTGAATCAAGTCAACCTTCCCTTTTGCAACCTTTTGTGTTTTAAAGCCTGAGATGAGCTTTTGACCTTGTTTATGCTGTTACTAAGACTGTCTATTTCCAACTGTGTTGTCATCATATTTCTCCCCTCTCCACTATTTGCTGTTGAAACTCTTGTCCATGCTTCTGTTGACTCGAAATTCAGTTATTCCAGAGCATTCTTGGCTAGTCTCCCACATTCTGTTTGAGGTTATGCAAAGCTTTGTTGCCTGTGCCTAATTTACAGCAAGTCCCATTTCCCCTAATGCCCCTGTGCATGCTGACCCACATTGTCTCCCAGTAGAGTAACATCATGGTTTTAAAATTCCTATTCCTGTTTAGAAATCTCTCCAAGCCTTCACCCCTTACCTATCTCTAATCTCCTACAACCCTCCAAAATATTTGATTGTTGAGGACCAAAGCTCTGAAATACAGTTCTCTACCTCACTTACCATGTTTTAAACACTCCTTAAAACATACCTTTGACTGCACCTATGGTAATCTGGCCTAATCCAATGTGGTTCAGTGACATACTCGGTTTTATAATTCTCCTGAAGGGCATTGAAATTTTTATTTCATTGAGTGCATACAAGTTGTCAATTTGATGGAAATAGCGGTTGATTTAAAGATATCTCGCACACTAACCCACTCTAGCTCCAAACTCCGTCCTGACTCCACCTTCGCCACCTCCCCCCAAACTCCAATTTAGACACACATGCACACAGGAAGATCCAATCTGATTAGGATTTAATCACATCTCCTTGGAAGTTGGCATTTAGGTCTGAAATTTGAAAATTTAACTGACGACAACTTAGCGTCTAATTGGAAAAGGGCTTCGTTCAATGTGCAGTACAGACCACTGAAAACTAGTTTAACATTTAATCACCTGGGTCCTTTTTGCTTAGACCTTTTTTGCCAATGAAAAGAAAATTCCTTTCTGAACCTTAAGTTTAAACCCTACAATTGACTTCAATACACTTCAGCCATATTATTGTTTCTTTCAAAGTTAAGATAGCCAAATGTTTCCTTACAAATTGATATCATCCTTTTCTGCTTCAGTCCAAGTGAAACAGAAATTCTCAACCATGCTTCTGTTTCCTTCAAAATAGATGGTCTGTGCTCAACTGACCAGCCTTACATCCTCCAACCTCAATAAATTTGAGCTTATGGTGCAGACGAAGACGCAGTTACTGGATTCTCGCTCATCTGTCGTCTTGACCTCTATTTACTCCTAATTCAAGTGCCTGAAAGGCATATTCCATATTTGAATCTCTGTGTAGTCTTGCACCTCCCTCAATGTGTAACTCCATCCAGTACAACAATCATCTCTCCTTTCTTTTATTTGTATTCAGTCATGACTTGCAATTTCTTCTCTAATCCCATCCATTTTTCTACTTCACTCTTCTTCATACCCAGCTCTTTTACAAAGATTCTCATCATCTCTCGTCATGTCTGCTTTTGCTATTTTCTTTTCCTATTAGGACTCTGTGAAATTGCGTCTAATGGCTTACGTTAAAGGCCTTGCATTAATACAAGCTTCTGATGGACATTGCAATTGGTAGTTTTATTTCTGAAGAAGGGTCTAGGCCCAAAATGTCAGCCTTCCTGCTCGGCCTGCTGTTCATCCAGCTTTACACCTTGTTATCTCGGATTCTCCAGCATCTGCAGTTCCTACTATCTCTGGCAGTTCTGTTGCTGTTTCTGATTTTTGCCACTAGATGGTGGCAGAGAATCACATTATGGCAAGGTATTCCCTGCTAAATTAGAATCATTGCTAAATATTGTCTGAATGGGCATATCCTTAGAATCAATTCTAAAGACATGCCAAATGACTTGATAGCTAATAACATGAACTGCTTATGATATGCTTCAATATTTTGGATTGATTTTGTTCGCCTGATGGGAATCCTATGGTCCCATTTGTGACAGACCTAGTTGTCGGTAGACAGGATGATGGCCCACTGGAACCCCTTCATCTTCCTCACTGGGTTGGGGAAACCAAAGCTGGACTTTCCAACACTCCCTTCCGTTAAGGCACTTAAATGGTTCTTAAAGTGATTGTTAATTGACTGCTCACAGGCCCATACCTGCCTTGGTGGCAACTATCTCCGCTCTAGATGGAACAAAGGAGATTCATCCTTCCAACTAGTAAACCAGTAACGATGCTGGGGAAGGGGGCAGCGAGACTGCAGAGAGCAACCCCTGCTCTTGCTTTTGACTGCCACCCAATCCAACAGCACATTGTTCCCCAGATCTCATCTCCATCCTGCGAGCTTGGTGCTTGTAGCAGCACCCATGGCTTCTTTTGCGGTATCTCTGAGTAAAACAGGCTGGCAGGACCTCATTGACCTATATCCTAATCCTAGTTGAATGCCCCCCCCCCCCACCCTCCCCCATTGATCAGTCAGGTGCCTGATTGTCAGAAGA